GTGTGTGATGTGTGTGTGTGTGTGTATATGTGTGTGTCACTGTGTGTGTGTGTGTGCGTGTGTGTATGTGTGTGTGTGTGCGTGTGTGTATGTGTGTGTGTCTGTGTGTGGGCGGGTGGGGGGTCTAGAAACCAGTGCTTCACTTATTGGATCAGTAGTAATAGTTAATAGTAGCTTGGGTTAAACAATTGTCTTTAATAAGTTAATTAGCAGTAGTCGTGCACCTTGTAATTGGTTGATAGCATGCTCATTTAAATCTAAATTACATTAATATTGTCATGTTCATCCATCCAGGTGTATACATACGTTACAATGAACAAACTTAATTGAACTAGGGAATTATATCGGATATAATTCCCAGCTCACAGCGAGGGCACTACCACCGCTGTTTAAGACGTAATTTAACCGTAAGAGCGACGGAAGCGATTTTTGTTATTATAAGACACTTATTAAACAAATAAACATAACATGAAATCGAATAATTAAATTGAGAACAGGCAATATATCACTGGATTTGTGAAAATGTACACCAGGGGCCAATTCCATAAAGGCATTCTAACTTAGAATCATACAAGGCCTTAGAATGTTTTTCCTGTGTTTTCACTAAATATATGGAGAGCCCGTCTCCGAAAGGGAACAGGACATTTCTGTGTAGTGCACCGATTTACAAGCAGTTCTGCAGACAATGTGTCATTTTATTTGTTCCCGAAATCGAGACGCCTCACACCGCGTGAGCTGCGTTGCACACGGCTACAAATGGATATATCAGATCAGAACTGTTAGACTGACACGTGGAATAAAGACCTCAAGGAAATTACAGCATCAAATGAATATATATGAAAAATTAATTAACTCGAGCGCCTCGAGGAAACTTAAATTTGGCTTGAAATAAAATTACAGTAAACAAGGCTCATCTATCTTGAAAATAAATTAAAGATTGTTTATTTATTTATTTCATTTTTTTTTTTTGAAAGAAAAGAAAACTGTAAACGCCGATTTTTTTTTTTACTTTTTATTACATGATTATTATATCATATTGCATGTTATCTGCATAATAAATAAATAAAATATTTTCTTTTAAGCTACAAAAGGTCCCCAATACAGTTTTGCCGGAGTATCCATGGTGCTGTGATAAAACGATACTCCTGCGTTCACGAACTCTTGTCTGGTGATCACCCCGTCACTATCCATGTCAAGGGCCTGAAACGACGGAGTGACAGATAACGGATGAACGCCAAAAATTCTTAGAAATGTCGCATATTCATGTAAAGTCGCATAGCCGTCGCCATTGGCGTCCGCAACTCCATCGAAATAAGCTGTCATCCACTTTCTCAGTTCTTCATCAAAATTTGGATCGCCATATGCACGCAGGAAGTTTTTTGTTACATAATCAATTGTAACCTCTTCTCTCTTTTCTGGTCCAGCCCAGAAGTATTCCCATCCACCGTTGATTAACCTCTTGAAGACCTCCAGTTGACCTTGACCTAGATGCCCTTTCGCATTTTCCAGACACCAGTCCACCATGTCTTCTCTGCGAACAACGCCGTCAAGGTCGTGATCAAAAGTCACAAAGAAAGAACGAATCTTGCGATGCCAAAACGGGGTTGCGCTATGACCAGCGGACATATTGGATACCTTTACTGGATAAAGAACAAAACTGCACTAAATATTATCGTTAAAGTTGAAAACTAAGCCAATCTAAATATCTCATCTTTATTGTTTAAAACGTGCACTACTTTATTCTTTGATAAACGCAAATAGTTGATATAGAAAATATTGTACATTCTTCGAAAAATGTCTTATGCTGCACTTGCCTTGTGATATGCCCACTTGAAACATTCCCTCGGCTAGCAATAAAACCGTACGTGAATACTAAAAACGTAAGAACAATTCGCAGATTGTCTCCCGCGCTTTACTTCAAGCACACAAATTTAATTTTCACGTTATACGGGTAAAGGAAAATTTAGCGCTCACGTTATGGCAATTCAGTAGTAAGTCAAATGGGCATTGCTTTAATGTTCTGCATTTTAAAGATAGCCGTTACGCGGTGATGGTGAAAACATTTTACACGTGAATTTCATTATTCGGTCTGGTTGCGTCTGGTTAATTTAAGTGAAAAGTTCGGTTCTTATATACCACACTGCATTATATTCATTTATGCACGGTTTACAATAAGACCTTGGTGAAATTTTACAATGGACTGGTCATTTTTGGCCAAGATAAAGACTGGATGTTGACGCTCTCGCCTCCCTGAGGAGGAGCCGATCACGTACCAAGTTGCACCTACAACGACAACGATCAAAATTAGCATTTATTCAGACAGACACAACGTATCAGTTGGGTCGGTTCAACTATGCTGGGGATTCTAAGTAGGCCTACAATCAGTGAAATCAGCTTGATTGCCTGCCACGCCTCCAGGTGCTGATATGGGATAATTTATTAATTATTGTGCGCTCGGCTTCCAGAGCCTCTGAGGCTACCTGGACCTGGACACGTTTCATTCAGTTTAGTCGACTGCACGTAGCGAGAGCCCCCGCAGAGTTGGACTGACCCCACTGGCACGATGTGTCTATCTGAATGCTCCAAAAACCTTCCCTCTTCTGGGGCCACAGATTGATCTTTCGCTGGATTTTTTAGAGATATTTCTCTGGCAAATTCTTGAGCACTTTCCATTGTATCCAGGGAGAATTGCAAAGAAATTAATGTCAACACTCAGCCGCAGGCCTCTAGTATAAAGTAACCAAAACCCTAGATGCGGGCTTTATTGCCACACGTCCTGAAGTCCCCATCGTATACGTGACATCAAAACCTTTTTGCATGACTCCCACAGAAATAATTTGGGGGTCACTCCCGAATTTAAACTTGGATCTTATAATATTTTATAAGGGATTCAATGTTTAATTTACTTTGATTCACTCGAGCCCTTATTGTTGTCTGCATCATCTTACTTCCAACTCAGAGGGTGCCAGGGCGCAGACACAGAGTATAAAGAGAGGTTATAATCATGTGCGATTAATGCCTTGATTAATGTAGGCTAAGGACAGTCATGGGCGGTTTATTTTAAGTTCTTGGAAGTGATTAACACGTTTCGCTAGATGAATGTCATGAAATGAATATCTAATTTGACAAATATATAATTATAATACCACAATATATAATACCACAATTGAGAAAAAGTTTAATTTTCGCACTTTCTTTATTTTAGGGCGTAATGCAACAATGTAGTATACCGGGTATATATTTTATGAAAGTATTTTAATGCTAAAGTAGCCTTCTTTGTGAGGTTCGAGTTCCGGAAATAAATTTATCCAAACATTAAAAATTTCACAAGAAGTCTTAGAAAACACTTGCCAAGTTGGGGGATATGCATTCTTGTAAACACAAAAAAATAATAATAGTAAAAAAAGTAATAATTTAAAAAGAATTCTTTTCAGCATGACTTTATAAACTTGTTTACTCCGTTTGATTCATTTTTTTCCACCAGAAAGAAAATATTTGCTCATCTTATTATTACAACTAATTCAAAACTAGTTTAACCTTTTTTCTGACCAATTGATATTAAATGAATAAAAACACAAAGTCCAGAGGGTTGACATGTATTTATGAAATATAAATAAATAAGAGGAACGTCAACCGTTCATCCCACACATAACTGTGTACACAGTAATTGAGCCCAAAATTAACAAAACACAAACACAGTGGAAGACAGACAGCCATCCAAACTGTGCAGCACATCCAGCTTTCTGGCCATTATAAATCTACGAGTCTCAACACATCCACCAGTATCATAACACAATATCAATCTACCAAGAGAGGGGGGGGGGAGGGGGTGGGCGGGGACACTAATCTAGAAGCCTTATAGCACATGAGTGTTATACTCAAGCAATATAGCTGTACTGGTACATTTTGAGGGGTTCTATGCAGTGGTTCCGCTACAGAGAACTTTAAAACTTTTCACAAATACTCCAAAGTTTCACTTCTAGTTCGTAAGGTCTGGCCGAAAATACATGTACGCCTAGAAATGAGCATGCAATTCCATTTTTGCAAGTGTGAAATATTGTGAGTGTTATGATCCCTAAAAGCCACAAAACAATAACTTATGGGTCTGGTAACTCCACATTCCATGCCAATATTTCTTAACATATCATCTTCTTATCAACGCTATTCCACCTGCATATTTCTGTTATCCTGTTTAGTGCGGCCCCCACTTGGAATGGATGATTTTGTTATAGCCAGGATATTAAGTTAATTTCTCCAAACTTATCAAACTTGGAAAAAAGTCATGGCGGCACAGCTTATTGTGATGTGAACACATCATATTGCCCTCAACATATTTGCTTAATAAGACCGTGGTGACCACCAACTTTCCCTTAGGTAACTATACCTGTCCAAAGGGTCAGCCCCCCTAGCACTCCTGTCCACGTGTTTCTTTTAATTTACTGATTGTACCAGCCCTCGCGTGAATGTGAACATTGCTGGGGGGTGGCACCAAACGATAACTTTACCCATTTGACAGGGGAGCTTAGGGCATGTCAGGTAGGGTACACACAACAGCTGAAGGGGGGGGGGGAGGGGGCTGGGGTACGTTATTCTTGAAATGTTTTTGTTGAACATCAAATTCCTAATGTTTTGCATGTATCGTTTTTAATAATGCTCTGAAAACTATTTCAGTACTTGCATGGCATTTTCCCCTGTTGACAGTACCACTATATATGAGTAAAGTGTCATCACGAGTCTTGCTTATTTGACCATGTTAAGGAAAACATGACACAGCCCCACCCACTTTGCCATGGCCAGTTTCATTATAACCTCAACACTTAAAGTCTTTCTACTTCTACATCTTGATCAGTCCCATTGTGTTTCTCCCTTGTTTTATAGCTGTCAGCGAAAATATTTTTATCACTATATAAACTCTGACACTATTTCTGTCTGCTCAAAATCTTTTCAGTTACGGCTACAAGTCCCCTTCTTTCTACAGAGTCTTTTAACTTGTTGATCTGAAAGACTGCCTCCTTGCAGTGTTGTCTGGCCATACTTCGTGTGTGCTCAAGGCCGTCACTCTGAAAAACACAAAGATATTATAAGTAAAAAAAAAAAATAATTATATATAGTGAAATATATGTGTTTACAGCAAACAGAAAAAACTTTGTCTATCTGGTCGTCATGTTATACAGAGTGAGCCTAAAAAACTTAAATACTGCAAAGGTCCATCAAAGACAATTTGTATCAGAGCAACCCTCACAAGGTGGGTGAACTGTGGGGAGCAATCACAGAAAAATTCAAGGAAATCCCGAAGGATGAATGTGCTTGAGAAATTGACAATTTTTTCATGACGTATGCAAGTGTGCCCATTTGGAGCATATTTTAAAAAACATTATAACATTTATGCAAAGTGGCCAAAAAAACTGAAACTTTGGGGAATGGTCATGCAAATATTGCAGTTTAAGTCCAGCAAATGTCTTGATATTTGATGGACCTTTGTAGAATTTAATAACTTCTTTCTCTTTTTTTTTTTTTTTTGGAGGGAGGGGGGAACCTGTATTATATATTCAGGGCTGGTCATATTAAATAATATAGAACTATTCTAGATCTTGGTGTTATGATATGAAAAATGACATAAAATATCACCCTGTCAGTGAAACTACCTTCAGACTTATTCACCAACATCCAAGCTATTTCCACCCCAAACAAACTTATAAATAAACACCTCAACCCACCTTATTCACCAGCTGCCAGGCTTTCTCCACATCTCCAGGTTCATTGAACCGCCTCATGATCATAGCATGGAGCTCTGGATACTAGAAAATATATTTTTCAAAATAACAAAAAATCTTTTTTTTTTTTTTTTTTGGTAAATGAAACGATGATCCAATTTCCTCTGCCTTTTAGCCATTCCCGTAAGGGATCATAAATTGTAAAGGAATGAAGGGACAACACAGACTAACTGCATGTCTTTAGTCAGAGATTATATCATGATTTGAGGTCTATTGTTCACGTGATAATCATGTAAAACAGACAATTAAATATTGCTTGAAGGTATCATAAATCCATGAAAGCTGTCTATTAAAAATATCAAGCAATCCTAGACTCATGTCTGCGAGATATATAGTCTCACCAAATGAATAAGACCACTGAACAATAAGATATAACTAACTAAACACTGAAATGTATCTTTTAAGGAAATTGAGTGTACCTGCTGTGATGCAAATAACACGGGGGCTGTGGCCAGTCCTAATTTTAAGTCAGCAGCAGCAGGTTTTCCTAACAGTTCTTCATTTGATATGAAGTCTAAAAGGTCATCTATCAGCTGAATGAAATATAATACAACCGATGATCAATACCAATTAACATTTCAGTTTAAATTCTACATAACAACAGCCAGTCACAATAATATGTTAATCATTGTTAAATCATAAATCACCACTTACAACATGCATCTGAATATGACTTTGATTTTAGACTGATATCAAATTTAAAAATAAATAAAACAGACATAAATGTTTCAAACTCCAACCTTTAACCTTGAATTCTGGTCCTAAGAAGTCACCCACCTGGAAGGCTATCCCTGCGTGTTTACCATAGTTATATAAAACTTCAACTATTTCATCAGAGCAGTTGCTAAGTATTGCCACCTAGAAATGTTTGTAGAAAAGAAACTGGAGGTGCCTGGTACTCGTAAATTATCTAAAAAACCTCTAACTAAACTGATTACATTCCACTGGCAGCAGACAAAGGTTGGTGTGGTAATTTTTTATTTGAATGTTCAACTTTTAAGCTACATATTAATGACATGCTTGTTGTTGGCAATGTATGGGGGGGGGGGGGGGTCCTTTTGTGAAAAACTATGCTTTTACTACATAGCATAGAACCTAAATCAAATTTGGATTCAGAGGGAATCTTTTCTAACCAAAAGGATGTCTGGGTGGGAATTTATGTAATTGAATAAGAATTTGTGACTATAGATATTCCGGGCAAAAAAAAAAAAAAAAAAAGTGTACTGGTTAAAAACACAATAAGTATTTTTTAAATAAAATATTTTTCTATAAATCATGTATTGGATATAATTCAAAGCCATTAAAAAGACAACTTACTGATTTACAACTATTTGCTATCAAACTAGCAGTTTTCTTGTATGTTTTTTTGAGGTAGTGGTTGAATCTTTTCTCCTCATCCTCCTTCGATCCAAGTTGCATAAATTCCCCTAAAATAACACCATTGTAGTTATTGGTGATTTTTTTTTTTTAATTTTGACATCACCAGTCAATGCTGGATATGTAACCAATTTAGGCATTTTGATGATAGATTCAACAAAACTTCTGCATTAACTTTTTTACCTGGCATTTTTCTTTTATTTAAGAAAACCTTTTCATAAATTTGTCCTATATATTTTTTTTCTAAAATAATTAATCAGAATAATTTTAACAGTGCCAATAAACACTTATGATGACTGAACTGTACGGATTACTACCTTTTCTTATTTAAGTCCACAAATGTTAAACAACCATTTTAGGTGAAACAGGCACTTGCTTTGAGTAAATATGCCCAGCAAATACACACCCAAACTAATGCTGTGCCAGTGACCATGCATAATTCATACAATATATAATCTTGGGAATAAATCTATATTGCTGATCTTTAAAATCAATAACCTCCATGTACCTCGTACTAAATCATCAAGAATAAGTGACATCACACCAACAACTTCTTTATTTCCTATCCTTGCTAAAACTTGGGAAGAAACAGACAGGATAAAATCTCCTGTTAGAATTGCCTGAAAGTATAATCATTTCATGATAGAAATTTTGTGAAGAAAAAAAGTTTCCATCACAAAAAACTATTACCTGCAAGCTAGGTAATAAAAACAGTAAATCTGAAAGAAATTAAACATAAATAGATTTTCCAGCATTCATAAAATATTTGAAGCATAAGTTTTTGTTTAACTTCAACTCCTTAATACAAATATTTAGTACTCTGAACAATTTCAGTAAATAACTTCCACTTTTACATGAACATGATTACTACTAAAATCAGCACTGAAGCAGAACTGAATCCAGTATGCAGTAAAGTGACTACTGTAAGTTGACATGACTTACTTTTCTTTGGCCCCAAAGTTTAAAAACACTAGGTTTGCCTCTCCTTGTGTCAGAAGCATCTATAACATCGTCATGAACCAGAGACGCAGTGTGGATCATTTCAGCTACCATGCCAATCTTTTGTTGGCTAGGTAATATACTGGAAATATTAAAAAAAAACAATTGTTTTCTTGAAGTCTAACTTAAATTAAGGACATACAGTGCTTTTTTCATCATTCTAAAACTATATTCGTTCTTCCCATTTATATCATAAGTTAAAAAGTGCATACCAATTGTCTACTTTTTCAACAATTACACTTAGAGTAAAGAACTACCTGGAACAAAAGTATTTCAATTTTTGAGTAATCACTGCAATTACCACTTTCAGATATTTGTTTCATCTTTAACGAATGCATTGACCATTACCTATTGATCCCTTCGTGAATATTACAAGCTTTTGCAGCTAAGAGAACTACCATTGGCCTGAGAGATTTCCCTTTGCCATCAAAGTGGTACTGAGCTGGCTCCAAGATATCCCCTGATCCAGCACTATTGTAAAGCTCCTTCAACAAAAACAGTAATTTTAATTTTTATTAAAATAAATAACCGACGATAAATACCTGAAACAAGATATCAAGGATGGAGAAGAGTATTTTAAAAATTACATGTAGGTCCTGTGACAATATAGTAACAATTCTTTCTCAATAACAAAATTAATTTTACAAAGTTAACATAAAAAAACTGTCAATTCTGCCTCTGGCATTATATATTCATATGTGAAAGATATAAAGTAGGTATAAACTATCAAAAACCATTTTAAAAATAGGCACTATTTCCCTAAATTCACAACCCATTCGAATTCAAAAGAAATCCGCCATGAAGTCTTGCACAAATGAAAGAAAATAATTAAGTGGAAATAAAAATTTTAATGAGGGACATATATGCAAGTGACTAACCTTTCGTATATCATCTGTCAGCAGTGACACTTCTTTTTCTACTAATTTTAATGGATCTACATCTGAAGGCAGTTGTTCTGGTATATGAGGTATATGTTGAGATGAAGAGTAAGATCGTGTTTGATGGCTAAAGCTCTGTCTGTGTTGATCCTTCTTCATTGCACCAACATTTTTAGAAAAAACTGGTAAACCCTGTAAAAAGATGATAAAAGAAAAGAATGTCATTTATTTGTACATGGGTATCATGCTGATGAAAAAGAGCAAATTTTGAGTTAGTTCAGTGAAATTTTGAGTTAGTTCAAATATTAAAAAATATATATATGAATGTAAATGTATTCAAAATAAATAAATATAAACCCATTCCAAAATATTTCAGTATTCACCTCCTCCTCCACTCTGTAACTCTCTAATTTTCAATGTTCATCAAAATTATGTTGCGTGATGAGAGTACTGCTCAATGTCCCCATTACTCAATTGAATAAATTTTGATTTAACTTAATTTTAATGTTAAAGTTTAATTCACGATCTTCATTTTTTGTCTTTTTCATTAGAAAATATAAAAAGGCAGATATTGCCTCTTCATCTATGTAAATCCTACAATTTGAAGTTAAATGTCAAAAACATATTTGAGATATTTATTTCATATTCAAATATCAGTTAATTCAAAAGCTTCAAAAGTAAGAACAATGCTAGTTTTACACGTCTAAAGGTAACACACATTTGAAATACTAGCAATTTTCAATTTTCCCTGTGCCATTCAGCAGCTATTCATATTCCCAAAAATTTAAATATCTTATTAATAACAGAAAAACCAAAGTTTAATAATTTTTTAAAAAATTAATTCGTCTGCCACTGCCAGAACGAGAGTACAGTAGTTTCGTAAGGAACTCTTTACCTGATTCACTACTGCATTATTTCTTGTTGACCATTGAATATGACGTCTGTTGAAACCAAGAAGAAATGTACAAAACTGTCCTGATTGTAAATATCCAGTTGCCAAGTTTCGTTTAAAACTTGGTAAAATTTGAGTGCACCGACATTTCAGACACACGCGACTCGCCATGGCCGGCAGTGACCTTGACGCAACTACCCTGACATCCGAAGCTAGCCTCTACACCTGTCTGTAGTTTCTATATTTTTTGTTTACTTTCGTACATTATATCATTCTATTGAAAAGAAGATAGGTTTAAAATTATTAAAGAATTTTCTTCCATATTGAGTGTTATTGGAATATGTTTACTACTTATATGACTACTGTAGGTATATTCCACATAAAACTTGTAAACAAAAGAACATATATTTTTAGCGCTCTACATGTCAAGAAGTACCCGGACGTTTAGCTTTACGAAACACTAGGGAACATTACAGAAGAGGGATAAGTTATTGGTGATTAATGTTTACACTGCGCAACATACTTCTTAGGTATGGAAGCAGTAATGGAAGTAAACAAGCTGTTGTAATGGGAACGCTGTTCTCTTCCAGAACAGTCAACAGCGACCGACCTTCATCTGAACTCTTGTGTTCAACACGTTCATTTTGTAAACAAACCCCACGTGTTTGGGAGGCAGGCGAAATGGCTACCTTAGAAAACCTGCAGTTTGACAACCTTGCGCTACGCGCGCTGCCCATTGATACCGAGAAGAAAAACTTTGTAAGGCAGGTCCGTGGTGCTTGTTTCTCCAGAGTAGAGCCGACACCTGTGACAAACCCAGAAGTTGTGTGCGTGTCGGCGAAAGCAATGGCCTTGCTGGACTTGCCAGAGAGCGAGCTGCAGAGGGAGGATTTTGCCGAATATTTTTCAGGCAATAAACTTTTACCTGGTGCCGAAACTGCTGCCCATTGTTACTGCGGCCACCAGTTTGGACAATTTGCTGGTCAACTTGGAGATGGAGCTACAATGTAGGCATTCTTTTCATCCCCATTTTGGGAAGGAAGTGTGGAAAGTAAATCCAAAATATTAAAATTTTATTTTAAAAATTGCCCTTTTAATTGGTTACCATCGGCCATTTCTGCATTAACCTTTCTGCTTGACAAACAGTGCACAAAAAAATGAAATGAAAGGTTTGGCTTCATTACTGCATTAAGGTGTTATAAATTGTTAATTGCTGAATATCTTGTTAAGGTTAAAAAGAAATCAGTTGAAAATGTGGAAGGACTTTTTTAATTTATGAATGTTTTAATATAAATGACCTTAAAGAAAAAGATGCAAACACACTTCAATAAGAGTGACATCAACATTTCAGGTATCTTGGTGAGGTGATAAACAAGAAAGGGGAGAGGTGGGAAATACAATTTAAAGGAGCTGGAAAGACACCTTTCTCTAGGATGGCAGATGGGAGGAAAGTACTAAGGTCTAGCATTCGGGAATTCTTATGTAGTGAGGTAATACCACTCTGGTATTCTGATAGTTTTATGACATTTTTCTTTCTGAAATATTTTTCATGTTGCATAAGCCAAGTTTTCTTTTGAAGTTTAGTTGACCAAAAGAGTATTTTACAAAGACTGCTTCCTTTGAAGACCTGCAAATTAAATGAACTACTTAGCTGAGTCTTTTGTAAACATTGTCCACACATTTTTGCCTTTATTTCAGGCAATACATAACCTGGGTATTCCTACCACCAGGGCTGGAACGTGTGTCACAAGTGATGATGTCGTGATGAGAGACATATTCTATGATGGCAATCTCAAGGATGAAAAGTGCACAATAATTCTCAGGATAGCTCCAACTTTTATCAGGTATATTTGTAAGATATTGCTTTTAAGCTTGTGAATTTTACAACATTTAATAAGGCTCATAAATTGATTTAAATTCAGAATTTGAAAAGAAGCGCTGTGCTAGCTGTCATATTAATTTGAATGATAATAATTTTTTGGCAGATTTTACAAAGAACTTATTAAGTTTATTATAATTGATATCATTAATTTCTTTCAACTATAATAGCCAGTATTGCACACATCCATTATTGAACAAGTCCTCATTTCTTCCTGTTGTCTGCACATTTGACAACTTTGCTGCCTTTTTTAAAGGTTTGGTTCCTTTGAAATATTCAAAGCAATGGGGACCAATGGCAGACAGGGACCCAGTGTTGGAATGAAGGAAATACTTCTGCAGTTACTAGACTATGTGATCAGTACTTTTTACCCAGAGGTAAGTCAGTATAGGCAGTGTGATATGTCATGGTTTTTACCCAGCATTTTTAACATTACAGATATTTTGAAATGTCCCAGTTGAGATTCAGAGTTAAACCCATCCACGTAGACGGATGGTGTCTAATAGGAATGAGTTCTATGACTTTGTATTAATTATTCTATTAATAACTTTGCTTATAATATACCTATAAAGAATTTTGATTTAGAAATTGCCTTAGATATTACAGAAAGTATTTTCTCTCATTAATATGTGTTGTTTACCTCCAGATATGGGCAGCTCACACTGAGGATAAGCAGAAAATGTACTACGAGTTCTACAAGGAGGTTGTTCTGAGAACGGCTCGCATGGTGGCCCAGTGGCAGTGTGTTGGCTGGTGTCATGGGTATGTAGAGGGTTATACTGACATGGTGTCCCAATGGCAGTGTGTGGGCTAGTGTCATGGGTATGTAGAGGGTTATACTGACATGGTGTCCCAATGGCAGTGTGTGGGCTAGTGTCATGGGTATGTAGAGGATTACTGACATGGTGGCCCAGTGGCAGTGTGTGGGCTGGTGTCATGGGTATGTAGAGGGTTATGCTGACATGGTGTCCCAATGGCAGTGTTTGGGCTAGTGTCATGGGTATGTAGAGGGTTATACTGACATGGTGTCCCAATGGCAATGTGTGGGCTGGTGTCATGATTTGTTTAAATTTTCCCTTTTACTTTTTTTTCCACTCAACATGTTATCTCAGTTTAGGTCACCATGACAGGATTTCCTTTTTTGCTATGAAATTTACAGAAAATGACAGTTTTATGTTTCTCATATGCCTTTAAGAATGAGTTTCACTCCTTTGGACAACATTGTGTATCTTTCAGTATAAGGGTCATTTCACACAAAGTGAACATTCAAGTGACATCAGTGTAGTGTTGTTGATTTCTTTCCATATCAGAGGGTAGTATGGAATAAAACATTTAAAATGTTGGAGCAACTTGTCAAAATTATAGAAATATCACACAAAATGTGTGTGTCACTAACCTGATTCAGCTGTTGACTTTTTCTTTGGAGTAACCCAGTGTTGTTGTATTTCAGAGTGTTGAATACAGACAACATGAGTATTTTAGGACTGACCATTGACTATGGGCCTTATGGGTTCATGGACAGATTTGACAAAGATTTTGTGTGCAATGGATCAGGTAAGAAGTCTGCTTCTTTGAAATGTTTTCTTTTGCAAAGCAGGTAATCGCAAGCCATGCAATTTTGGTATTGCAAGAAATAAGAATGTTTATTTAGTTTCTGTTAAATCAGATCATTGACTTATCAAGTTCCAAACTAAAAAATTCCTGTTACAGTAGTGAAAAAAAAAAACTGAAAAAAAAAGAAAGAAAGAAAAAATACACTTATTAAATACAAAATTTTCATTTGTTGACTTTCTCATTCCAGATGCAAATGGCAGGTACTCCTACAAAAACCAGCCCAAGATATGTAAGTGGAACTGTGCCAAGTTGGCAGAGGCCATCAGTGAGGCAATCCCCCTTGAGACCACCAGACCAGCCCTGGCCCTGTTTGACGAGGAATATGAGAAAGCGTACATGGGGGAGATGAGGAAGAAGGTATTATTATGATGTTTAAAATTATTTAGTATTGTGTCACTTATAGCTCTTGGGTTTTGATACATTCGAATCATGTGTACAGTACCTTTTGTTTTTTGTAATTGGATAATTTGAGCAATAATTTGATAAAGATAATTATTAAGGCCATGTAAAGTCAGTGGATGTGTTACAGTTGTCATTTGAAATTATCATCTTTTCCAGCTTGGAATTCTACAGGAAAATCTACCTGAAGATAAGTAAGCATTGCTTTTTTTCTTTGCTTAAAGAAATCAAGTCCACAATTAGGTTGAGAAAAAAGTGAAATGAGACTTTATCAAGTATGTCATTAAAGCCAGAACATAAAAGATTTTTTTCTGTTGTAATTGTTAAGCTGAATAAGATAAAGTATAGTTTCATTAAAAAATTCCAGTGATTTAGTCAAATCATTTCTGAGCACCATGCAAGCTACAGGGGCAGACTTCACCAACAGTTTCCGCTGTCTCAGTCAACTACCCCTCCCAGGCTCGGAACATTTCCATGACAAGATGGAGGAAGTGAAAAGATTTCTTGTAAGTCAGTGCTGCTCTCTGGAGGAATTTCGACAAGGATGTAAACCTCTGATGCCCCCAGCGTAAGTAGTTTGTCTATTTATGTGAGTTAAAGCTAGGATTTTGCAATTATTGTCATTATTATTATTATTGTTGTTTTCAAGATATGCTTCCAGAATTTTTCATTCTTAATTTGAATGCTGTAGATTGATATTGCTGAGAATAAGTAGACAAATCATGCCTTGGCAGTTTCAATTCTACTTTTTGTGAACTACTTAAAAGACACATGGTATGAATTTGATTAGTTTTATAAATTATTGCGTGCAACGAAATCTCTTTATTGTTTTTACAGAATTATATCAAGTTGCAATCCATGCATTTTAAATTCAAGATGTGCTGCAACAGCTGACCTGATCAAGTTAATACATCCTTTTTGATAGTAATATTCATGATAACTTTATTTCAGTCAGCTGAATATGCTCCTTCAGATGGAGCAGCTACATCCAGGGTTGGTGCAGCATTTAGGGTTAACTGCTGAAGATTTGGCAGAGGAACTGAATAAGGCAAACAAGGTGGAAGAACTCAAGGTGAAGGTCATGGTGTGGATGATGCTTGGTGAAGGTCACAGTGTGGAGGAGGATGATTTGTTTTGGTCACAGTGTGGAGGATGATGATTGGTGAAGGTCACAGTGTGGAGGAGGATGATTTGTTTTGGTCACAGTGTGGAGGATGATGATTGGTGAAGGTCACAGTGTGGAGGAGGATTTGTTTTGGTCACAGTGTGGAGGAGGATTGGTGAAGGTCACAGTGTGGATAAGTGAAGGACATTGTGGATGATGGTTGTATGCAATTTAGTGATAGCTGCCTGATAGTATTTGGATAGCAGTTTTTTTTTTTTTTTTTTTTCTGCAATATGATTTGTTTTTTATGGCCAACTCATCTTTTTGTTACTTCAAGGACTACACCCCAGAACGTAAGCGTGGAGAGGATGAGGAGGCGTGGTCAACCTGGCTGGAGACATACTCAGAGAGGCTGCAGAAGGAGGTAGAGGAGGGAGCTGATGTAGCAGCACTGAATGAAGAAAGGGTGAAGACCATGAATTCTCACAACCCTAAGTAAGTTGTCTGTGCTACTTAAGTATAGTAGCACTGTTTTGAAGAAAAAAGAACAAAAGTCAGTGTACCACACTAACAGATTATTACTCACACTAGTTAAATTTTTGGTTACTATTCTTGTGATATGTATATCAGAGGCATACATGTAGTGGATTCTTTTAGAAATGTTCATCAGTTCACCCTGAATCTCTTGGTTCGTGGTTTCTAGGTTTGTCTTGAGAAATTTCATAGCTCAGCATGCCATCACCCAGGCAGAGAAGGGGGACTACACTGAGGTCCGCAGGGTGCTAAAGGTGCTGGAGAACCCCTACAGTGAGAGTGTGGACCTGGAGGATGTGGCCACAGCTGCCAGACCTTCAGAAAATACACAGTATAATGCAGGTGAGAATAAATTTTTGTTGATATTTTATGTCTCCTTTGTTTTGTTTTGCTAGGAAATTGTGCCACATGCTTACTATCATACACTACGCATACATAACCCCAGCCCATAAAATCACAACCTTCAACCAAAATGTGTGAGCCAACTTAGACACACACCAAAATATTGGCCCTATTCAGAGTAGCTAAATCATATTAGGTACTGACAGATTATCCTTATTTGCTAGTAAATTAATTTTATTCCTGTATTTATCTAGATGCCGGCACATCGTCACCAGCAAGTGAAGCCGCCTCCTGCTCTGTGTCATCTTCACGACCAGTCTTCTCCTATGACAGTCGACCACCTGACTGGGCCATTGGTCTCACAGTCACATGATCTTCGTAAACGCCTTGTGTCCACTGCAGGCTGGTGGTGGCTGACCAGATGAGATGGACAGTGTTTAGACATGCTAATGACTAGTTGGCACAAGTATCAGTGGAACAGTAGAAATATTGTCCTAGTTGGTAGTCACTGTAAAACACTCCATCATAAGCCAGTAGTGATCCACTCAAGCACAGAAACAATCAGGCAAAATTTCAGATACTTTTGTTTCTTCATTTCGGCGGAAAATGACTGATTTGTCATGGGTTGGAGAAAACTAAGATTTAAACTCAAATATCAATTGAACCTCTGTGAAACTAGGGACCAGATCCCAGTCTATGAATGTGGCTAACAACGAGTTATTTTCCTGTTACTAAATTGAAAAGAGCTTTGCTAACTGTAGGACTCCATATTACCACTGTTCACACGTACAAGAAATTCCGAATACAGTTATACCACTGTTAACAGTTTTTGTGGAACTATCCCATTCTTGGTGACTTGTTTGGAAAATAACACTCCTTACAGCATGAAAACAAGCCAAGAGAGTGCAGCAATCCATGACCTGCCTGCTGAAAGTGGACACAAGGTCAACAGCACATGTTGCTTACTGGAGGACATGGTCAAGAAATCTAGGCAATATACAGACTTCTTTGGTTGTGACAGCGTTGTCACGACTACGTGGAGTGTATTGTGATGTGGATTGATTGACTATGTCATTGATGACGGTTGTTACTACAAACCATGTGGTCAGTAGCAACTTGAGGATCCAGCTAAGCAGCATGGTGTGGCCATCTGTTTTTATTAATTTATGGCCATAGTTTTTACATGTCAGTTAGTCATTTATAAGATGCATAGTAATTTCAAGGGAGGAGGTAATAATAGATTTTAAAAAATGATGAAAAATTATTAATCTGCTTCTTCAATTGAAGAACAGTCCATGATATACAGGAATATCTTTTGGTTTAACTGTACTAATTTTGTAAAATTTAACATGTGGATAAAAAGTCCTGTCTTCCATATTTTGAGTTTTATTGAAATTTTAATTTTCAAGGAGGTGGTTATGTATATGTTTACAGAAAAGGAAATATAACTCCTTTTCATTTAAAAATAATCTCTATAAGTGAGTTATTTAGAAGCATATCTTTTAATGTTAAAAGAGAAAAGACTTCAGTACTGTGTACTGTGATTGATATCATGTAATATGCGCACAATAAATTGATATCTCTTTTACTTGTTATTTTTTCCTGAGTAAAAGGTGGATGTAATAATTTGATACTATCTTTTTTTTTTTCACTTTTATTTCTTCCCTTTATATAAATGACCAGAGTTAATGGAGTTAATGACCAGAGAAATGAAAGTCAAATTATATTAAACCTAGCCTTGCGTAAGTATACAGATGAACCATTTTCTACATAATTCAAATTCTGGAATCCTTATTTCAATTCTGACAGGACTGTTGGCGTGCCCAAATCCCAGCATAATAATTACCCCTTTAAATTTTGTTAATTTGTTTCATTATTTATTTTTTTCTTAGACGAGGTTCATGTCTGAGTTTTCATTCTATTACAATAACAAAGGAAAAAAGATTAAATCAGATAAAAACTTCAAAGACTGAAATCGAGTTATGGTGAGCCACAGCTAGTTCAGATATGCCATGTTTACAAATAGTGTGGGGGAAACCCCCTGTCAGGGAATTCCCGGTCTCGTTCTCGTGTAATGTGACGTCATTTAGCAGACATCAACAAGACAAGATGGCCACACCAAAGATGGACTACCTGCGGTCTCCTCTGGATAATATCTACAAGGTGGTCCCACAAGGCGACGAATCAGCACTGAAGCAAGCATTTTACAACGCAGGTGCCACTCTCTTCGTGATTCTCGTCTGCAGCGCGGCAGTCTCCGTTTATTTCGTTCTGGAAATATTCCTTCGCCCCCTGATGTGGGCTTTGCTGTGTGGAACTGTACTACACCCAGTTAAAAACAGCCTTACGTCTTGCTTAAGAGGGTGGTTGAAAGGACTCACGGAATCAGGGACTCCTTTTGTCATAGGGGTGGTGGTTTTACCCCTGAATGTAATTGACAATGCATCGCAGACAATCGCAGGAGCTATAAAACGGCACATCAAGGCCATAGTTATCATCGGCATTGGTTTCCCGGTGACTTATTTATTGTACCATTTTGGGCCTTTAGTAAAGATTTTCAATTTACTGAAGGCTATTTTCTGGCTTGCATATCAGGCACTGGGTCTTTTTAGCTCATTCTGGGTAAGTTGTGGACGCCAAGTTTATTGATTCAAAAGTGCTTTGCTGTCACTAGCACGAAATCCATGCGAAATCACTTTTATTGACTATTGAAGATTCTGATGGGGTCTACATGTATATACAGGCTATGCTAACAAAGTGTACATTTCAAAATCATTCTGATGACACATTAATTTTGTGATAGCTAGGTTGTCACCTTCATCGGTTAATGAATTTATGTACATTTAAAAGTTACAACCACACAATACGACTTGAGAGTACCACACAAGTCTATACTTGGTACTGTAATGATTTAAAAAATGGTAGAGTATTATTAACGAAGTTGATAAAATCACCATACATATGCCATTCTAGTTAATGTGCCAATTTAGGATGGTATGTCCCATAGTCAACAGTGTGTACTGGTATTCCAGTCATGCACAGTACTGTATACCAGTATTCTTAATTAGTCATTCACATCAAACCAACATCAGGTGTTCACAAACTTGTATTGATTATTAAGAAGTGTTAGAACCCAGTAAAGTAATGATTCTTCATATTCACAAGAAGCCACTCAGAGTCTAGAGTGAAAGGAGATGATATATGGCTGTGTAATAAGATACTCTCAGTCGAAAGTCTCACTATTTGTTAATGATTTCATTATAAATTTAAAAAGTACTGGTTATTCCTTATTCCGAAATTGCTGCCAAGGCATTTATGATAATTTCACCTAGCAGTAGAAAGGTGTGACCCATATGTTAATGAATAAACACAAAATTGCATGATTTTTATGTTCATCAGCTGACATTTGACCAGATTTGACAAGTGAGTCATAATTTCTGTAATTTTATTTTACGTCCGTAGGAGTTGTTTATAAATAGGAATATTGGGATGAGGAATTTCCTGATGCAACAGATAAGGATTATTGGGTTGCTGATTATGATGTACCTGTAGTACATGTAGTGTACAAGCACTATATATTTACACAATTGTCTGACATATCACACTTGTTTACAACCAGTGTTCAAGGGCATTCTCTTTTGGCACAAAGATTTCAAATGTCTTACTTTTCGAGGCAGGGTTTAGATGGTCTTCATACTACAAAGCAGATGACCTTTTAGAAGGTTAATACTCTGTAGTTCTGATTACCTTAAAGCTGTTGAAAAAATCAGTTTTAAATTTGAAATTTGAGTGTATTTGCATAATTTTTAATATGACTGACATCTGGATTGTTGCCAAAATCTCCTGTTAATCCATACACCATAAACAACACCATGGCAATGATCAGAATTTCCTTTTACCAGCAGCAAATCTTGGAGCTTAATGAAATATTTTATTCAGAGTGTAAGAAAAAATGATACTGTTTAAAAACTAACTACAATTATACCAAAAAGTAAAAAAATAATGTAATTTCTTCTTGACACTAGGAAATGCATACTTATATTTTCACCTCTGACATCTTCAACTTGTAGACTTCCAGCTGAGGGCTTGGTTTAAAGATGTCTGAGCTCATTAATATCGTGTGGTTTCTAACTTCAGAAAAAAAAAAAGGCGCAAGGGATACTAGTACAGTACTTGGGCAGAGTAGTGCTTTATGTGCATCACAGATGTGTGTGTGTGTGTATGTGTGTATGTGTGTGTGTGTGTGTGTGCAGGTTCATGTTTGTGTTTGTTTCAGTAACAATTAGTACAAGTTGTTACATAATAGCCTATTAGTAAATGTAATCATTACTTTCAATTCACAATTAATTTAACCTCTGACATGCATATGATACCTCTGCCTTTGAATGATCATGACCTGATACCATTCTCTTTAAATATTACAGATCTGGACATTTGTGATAGCTTATTTCCTAGCTGTAGTGTTCTACTGGAACAAGCAGTCCAGTTCTGTGCTCCGCTATCTCTCTGTACCTATATGGATCGCGATACTGTTCCACCTGGCCACCAATGCTGGCGCCCTGAGGATCCCCATAGTGGTCATGGTGGTCACCGCCATGAGTGTGGGACTCGGGGCAGAAATCAAGGAGGCAAAGCTTAAGAAGAGAAAAAATGGTGAAGGTACACTCTTTATTTTACAGAGTACAAATAATATGTGTTAATAATTTTAAGAGTAAATTTATCGATTCATGAAATTTTGTCATTGATGTTTGTGAAGTTAAAATTAAGGTTCTTGATGGTTTTTCTTTTCTACTGTGCATTTTGTATAGATTATTTATTTTTTGGTGATATAATTGGTGTCATATTTTGTGCATTAATTTGTTTAATTCACCAGTAAAGCATGAATTTAAAACAAAGCAAATAGATTAAAGAATGTTAAATGATAATATAGTACACATGTATGCCAAAAAAAGTATAATTACTCTTTTCAGAGCAAGACTTGCCTGATGTTTCTCCAACTGAGAAATTAAAAGAAGCCTTGTGGCGAGTTATCTCCGGAAGAAACAGAATGGAGTCTAGGACAAATTCCTCTATCGCCTCCTTTGATACCAGCCAGTCTGACTCATTGCAGGAGAGCCATCATTCTGACGAGGAAAATGCCAATGTTCAGCCAAACAGACCTCCGGGAGCCGAGGTTGGTTTGCCAATGGAAGAAGCCCGAAAACCAAAGACCTTGAACTTGAACACTGATGGCCAAGGTCAGTCAAAAGGTCAAAGTCAGACTGAAGGTCAAGGACCAGACTCCTCACAATCAAAGCCAAAGAAGGCACCAGCCAGGAAGAAGCGCTCATTGAGTGACCACTGTTTTATCTGGCTATTGTGGGCTCTGGGGCTGGTTCATATTTGGAGGCATTTCTGGCTGGTACAGCTGTTACCTGTCCTACTGGCTGTTTGGATTATTAAGACGCTTGGTAAGCAAGGGGGAGAATGTTTGCTAATTTTGATTCACTTTTTTGGTTTTGTGTTGTTTGTATTCTAAATAACCTTGGATAGAATAAGAGGTACCATGTATCAGTTAAAAGTTGGGTTCCCCCCCCCCCTTTTTTTTTTTGTGAATACCAAAAATATGTGGGTAATTACTTGCATGAATAAGTTTTTCTGTTTGAATCAACATCTCAGTAATTTATGATACATGTACCTGTATATGCACTGCAGTAGTATAGCCTCTATAATGGCAAATCTTTTCAGAGTCAAATAAAGCATACTGCCTATACTTTTGCTGTCCATCACTGATGATGATGATGATGATGATGATGATGATTATTGTTATTATTATTATTATTATTATTATTATTATTATTATTATTATTATTATTATTACCTGATTTCAAGTACATTTTATTTTACTAGTCAAAATTGCACTCAGCAATGACGGATTCAAGGAAAAATTAACAGAAGTTCAAAGCAAGACCACTGCATGGGTGGATGACCGCAAAGACGCACTGGTCCCTGTACCCATACAAGGTCTGACCAAACTGGCCATCAGAGGAGACCGCAAGGTATGGGGTCAGAATGACAGGTGGCAGCACGCTTCATGATAAGCTTTGATGCTTATTTGTGTATAAAGGAGAATTTGTGATAACCTGTTTAAATTTATATTTCATCTGAATGACAGCCACAGGTAAAGCATTTGATGTTTAAAAAATACAAGTCTATTCACATAAAATAGTGTGAATTTTAGGGATTGTTTTAGATTTATTATTTTTTTCTTTACTAGTTTTTAGTTTTCATCTTCAGAATGAGTCTACTCAGTCTACTTATTCAAAGCCATATAATTGGGGTCTGCTGCTCCAAGTGAGCAGTAGGTAAGACATTAAGGCACAGATTGTTGCAGAGTTATAAAATTGTGACCAGGCAGAAGTTCATTCTTTATTATTATAATTGTTTTAGATTACCTCAGGGCTGGAGTCGTCCATGGATGCCATCATGAGTACTATGGTTATCCTTGGTGTGCTCATAGGCACTGTGCTGTTTACTATTTTTATGGCCGTACAGGTATCAGGATTTTTGTCACTTAATACTGGTTCACACTTTATTTAGTAGAACCTAGAGAGTAGAGCTAGAGTGCAGACATCTGTCAGGGAAAAACACAACTTTTTAAAAATCTTTTAAGACAATAGGTTCAGTAGAAACGTTGTATTTCCTGCTTTCACTCCACTTCTTGCAGTCCACATTCATTGTAAATGCAAGGTAAGGAACTACTAAAAATTGTAAGTACAAAAGGGGGGGGGGGAGATAAGGGAGGGAACATATAGGGCGTCTACACACTTATTATGCTAACACTGACATATGTCTTTGCGGCCATTCTGTAATCTGGTTATATTTTGATTTTCAATTTTAGGTTCATCAGGAAAGTATGCATCTTGTCAAAGTAACCAGTGATGTCCTCAACAACTCCCTCCATCCTGAGTTCAAACAGTAAGTAGTCTTAAGAGTTCATGTGTTATTTAAGGCTCAAAGAAGTTTGCAGAAGCGGAAAAAAAATTATAAAAACATTGCTGAAATAATTTGCGCTGCATCTTGGCGTTGAAATAATTTGTCCTGCATCTCAAAAGCCCTAATCTTCAGTCATTTGAAATCAGAAAGTATTTTAATTTACAGTACTTCAAGATAAGTAAAAAGGTTAATTTTTGACAATAGAACTGTTAATTTGATTTATTTAGGCAAAATTGGCAAAACATCACTTTTTGTAGTTTATTATGCAGATGTCATCAATTACGAAAATGATAATGAGTAGTCAGTACTCATTTTCCAAGTTGGCCATCAGTTTGGTGGTCAGTTTGATGAGTCAGAAGATTGACTTATTAATANCAGATGTCATCAATTACGAAAATGATAATGAGTAGTCAGTACTCATTTTCCAAGTTGGCCATCAGTTTGGTGGTCAGTTTGATGAGTCAGAAGATTGACTTAATAATATGCTACTCCTGGCATAATCACCTGGCTTTATGCAGAAAACTAATATTTATTCTACTATTTTCACTCCAGTTGGCTTCCAGAGAGTGAACAAGTACAGAAGGCAATGGACTCCATGGTTGGCAATGCCTATGTGTATGGAAGGCAGTGGATATCCACACAGGTATGTGTATAAAAGGCAGTGGATATCCACACAGGTATGTGTATGGAAGGTGGCGGATATCCACACAGGTATGTGTAGTGGAGGGTGTTGTGTCATTGTAAATTAAAATAGCAATTAGTTTTAAGGGCTTGATTGGATTTTTAATGTTGAATAAAAGATTTTAAACTTTGTGCATTAATGCATTTTCTACACGTATATCCATTGCAGGTGCTGTTTTGTTGTTGATTGCATGTTAAACAATAGATCATTGCTTTTGAGTACAATTCTATAAATATTTTATCGCAAAAATGAACCAGAAGCAAGTGTAGTGTCATACTTGCATACAGATCTGTGATGAATCCTAATGTGTGGCCATTGTATTCCAGGTAAATTATATAGCTGGGGAGAATGCCAATAAGACCCATGTGGAGGCCCAGGCTCTGGCTCTATATGACAGACTGTATGAGTCCTGGTTTTCTACTAAGGTGGGAGGATATATTACATCATAGCCATATATAGCTACTTTGCTATGAGAAAAATTTAAGAAAACTGATCTGTCTTTACAATTTTTTTCAGAAAAGAGTACATGTTGTTAGGATTCAGTTGTGTTAAAGAACATGATAACAGTTCACTTTGACTCATACATTTTAAAATAACCATCATGATAATTACTTTAATTTGTTCTCTAGACATATTTTATGATCAGCAAATATTGATTTTATACTTCATTTTGTGTCAAAAGAAAAGATTTAAATTGATTTGTTAATTTGAACTTTCAATCAAATAGTTCATTTACAACAGCAATTTAATAATCAATATTCACCTGTTGCAGAACACCACAGCAGTGAGGAAGACAGGCACCTTAACCAGGAGTCCTTCATTTTCTGACCTGTCCATGACAAACCTCACCAGTGCGTGGTCGGTCATGAAAAACACAGATTTCTCTGGAGTTGTCAGCTTTGTGCAGGACAATATTGGAACTCTCAAATCCGTGAGTCTTGTGTGTGTGTCTGTTTGTGACTAGTGTGTATTTCATTAAAAAAGAATTCAGTATACTATCATCAGGGGCGGATCCAGAGATATTTTCTGACAGTCTTCCAAATTATCTTTGTTGGTCCATCCTCATTTTTGACCGTCTTCCGACAGAAAAAGTTAGATACCCGTCAATGTAAATTTGAAAATCTGACCGTCTTCCGGAAGACCCATAAGACAGCCTAAATCCGCCCCTGATCATTGTACTCTTAAGAAAAACTCTGGTTTCCCTGTGAATTACTGTAACATTAACTGATCTTCAACAAATGCAACTGGATTTTTTATCGTTAATTTGACCTCCAAAACATGTTTGATTTCTTTGACTAAAAGTCAATAATAATAATAATAATAATAATAATGTCTAGTATTTTATACATGAACATACAGTATAAACTGATTCCAGGTGTTAGAATCTCTGTGGATCTTCATCAAGGGGAACATGAATCTTGCCCTGAGTGTCCTGTGGACCACCATCTCACTGCTGTTTGGGGGAGGAACAGCTCTGCTCAACTTTGTGCTGTCTGCTGTAGGTTTGAAATAATAAAGAAAGAAAATAAAGAAAGAGGAGGTGACATGTTTGTAAATTATATTTAGCACAAAGAGTGTATTATACTAAGTTTTACAAAGTTATATTAAAGGGATAATAACTCTTCTTTCGGCCAAAAAATGAATTTTCCTGGAGTAAACAACAATTTTCCCATGCTTACAAATGGTTAATGAATCCATTTTTACATTCAAAGTTAGTCCCTGGTTTTTTTCTAAAAAGTTTGTTTTTTTGTTAAAATCTCTTAAGAGATTATAACAGAGTATAGCCATCAATGGAGGTCACGTGATCTGAAGACAATCTCAGATATCAGAATAATAGCTATAGCTGCTGTTTTTGTCGTAAAAAAGAATATATTATATTTCTATGAGCTATTCACAATGTTTTTATTGTGAAATATAGATCTCATACGAAGAGTTATTATCCCTTTAATGTAACTGCCTGCATCCAAGAGGTATAGTAAGTGGGTGCAACTTCCTGACAGGTTCTTAATCATCTTAAACCTTCCCCTGTAGTATGCAAAATGGTGGGTTTAAATGCAATTGTTTGATTTTTTTGGAGCAACAAAAATCTGAAATAATAACTATAGATGTATATATTTAGATCTAATGTAAATTTTATATTCACAGGACTATAAAGGAATTTTAATCATAACTTAAATTTATCTGTCTGTCTGTCTGTCAGTCATACTCTTTCTGTCCACTTCCAGGTGGTATTCTTGACCACGTTGTTCTACCTGCTGTCGTCCAGCGGGGAGCACTACAAGCCAATAGACTGGCTGGTCAGTATAAGTCCAACAGCCTCGGACAGCACCAGTAAACTGGGGGAGGCTGTAGAGGAGGGAATTAGGTGAGATATAGTCACATGGGACTTCTTGTGATCCAAACTGCATTCTAAGGCAGTATTCACAACCAGTTGATCCGTGGACTAACAGATCTACAGATCAAATATGGCCAACCTACTTGCCACATAATATCCTAACAGACACTGTTGTTAAAAAGATACTTTGTGTTTTTCTTTCAGTGGTGTATTCAAGGCTTCCATGAAGATGGCAACATTCTATGGGCTGTATACTTGGCTTACTCATACTGTGTTTGGGATAAATATCGTCTTTATTCCATCAGGTAGTGTTGGCAATTTAACAACACCAGCTGCTTTAATTTTTTATGTACAGACACAGATGTGTCTGTACATATTGCCATCACCTGCGTCTGTCGTCGCCGTCGCCGATGCCGATGCCGATGCCGATGCCGTCGCCGTGCACTTTCCTTGTAAACACGATAAGTGGAACACAGTTTTACTTTTTGGCTTTATATTTACAGAGCTGATGAATATTCATAAACGCAGGTCAAGTTCGAAAATCAGCATGATCGGGCCATTATTGTAGAAGTTATGCTGTTTTTTCACTTTTCAGCATATATGCAACACTGTAAACACATTTAAAGGAAAACCAATAGGCCTGTTGTCATGAAACTTACAGGAGTACTCAATCTTACTAAAATGCAGGTCAAGTTCGAAAATCGGCATGATCGGGCCACTATTTTAGTACTTATGCTGTTTTTTCATTTTTCAGCATATATGCAACACTGTAAACACAATATAAGAAAAACAGATAGACCGATTGTCATTAAACTCACAGTAGTGGTCAATCTTACTTAAACACAGGTTGAGTTCGAAAATCAGCATAATCGGGCCATT